GGGATTTTTTTTCCGTTAGTGTATATTACTGTGATATATATTATTATATAATGTTTACTTGTGTGCCTTATGTTGCATATATATTTCATACCTAAGCAGTTGTGTCTATGTATTTCTCTATAAACTATGNTTAATAAAGAGCGGAATTTAGAATTCTTTGGATGGGGGGTATAGAAAATTTTTTTTTGGGACCCAGCAGATAAAGAAGTATAATACATTGCAAAGTGGGATCCATATGTTAACATTCCTAATGTTATTGAATCTGACACAGATGAATCTTTAAGTTTGTAGTTTTGCCCTATGATATGAAATTTGTCATATTGTTATATTTTTATGTGAAAAACTCTTGTGTAAATTATTTGAACTTTTCTTATTCTTATAATTTTTTATGTAGAAATTTAAAGTATTGTTTCTGAAAATAAAAACTTTATATGTAAAGAAATTATAGAGAGAAAAGGAAAAATTAACTTTATATAACATATTGAAATTAATTTTTGAAAGGGGTAAATTAATATAATTATTCATATCTCTCTTATAGTTTATAATACATTATACAGATATGCAGTTCAATTATTTTGTACTTAACATGCTGGTTAATTAGGCTAAAATTAAGAAAAAGAAGAGGGTTAAAAAATTAACGAAGATCTTTCTAATAAAGTAGAATGTATTAAATTTTTTATGCTTTTTTTTGTTTCCACAAATTTATAGCCTGCCCAAACTTAGCTTCTTTATTGATGGCATGACAAGGGAGTCCTCAAGAGAATCTAGTAAGGACATCCAAATGCTAACTCCAAGCAATGCTAATTAAAAAAAAGAAAAAATTATTTTGGGTTACAGAACCTATTTCCCCAGCTGTTGTAGTTATTGGTAGTATTCAGCAATAAAAATCAATTTCCTGAATTCAGAATACATTTAAGGGTTGTCTTGTCCTCCTATCTACATTCATCACTGATATATTTGCCAAAATCTATCATCTTCATTGATTTAAGATAAATCATTCAATCTTTTTCCAAGTGCAAGAAAAAAAGGTAACAGTTTTACTAAACAATTGACAAGGAGTAATTTTGATTCATCGCAAAAGTTCTGAAGTATGAAATTCAAATATGTGTCTGGATTTGTGTTGGAGAACTCTTGGTCTTAAGAATTATTTTCAGTTATTACTTTGTTATTTTGAAAGTTTAATGCAAGTTTTAATTAATGAAAATAAAAAAGAAGCTCTTCAATCTACTGCAGAAATAGATTACCATTCAGCAGATATCTCAATTTTAAAACTAATCTGTGTTCTGTGTCTATACAGCAATGATGCAGTATAGTAAGTTACAATGAGAGGATCTGAAAGACGGGCTTCATCATACTAAGCTCCATAATCAAAGGTTAAAGAGATAATATTATACTCCAATCTAGCTTATCATTGCTATGTCATTTTTTTTTAATGCATGTACTATGAAAATAAATCGGTCACATTTGCTATTTCTATTTAAAAAAAGGGAAAGAAAGACAAGATTGCTATAACTGGTACCTATACAGGATGTCAAAGGAATATTGGGGAAAACTTTAAGGGGAGGTAGTGGGACATCACAAGGATTCTGAATTGTTAAGGATTCTGAATTGTTAAGTATGGTCGGAATCGTCATAGGAAAGTAAGTGTGGCAGGTGCAGAAAAAAAGACTGAGATCATCTGAACTATGTATTGGTTAAAGATATTACTTGTGCTGTGGTAGATGGTATGTGAAAATATTACTAAAGATGTTCTGAGTTTTGACCATTGCTAGTCATGCATGCTTTACACAATCGGTGAGTGGATTGGGGGACTTACTTAAATAAATCTGGATGTTGTTGGATATCCGTGCTTCAATCTTTGGGTTCCTTTTGCAAAAATTTTTTTTGCTGCTGTCTGTCCCTCTGTCAATCCAAGTATAATCTGCATACCTGCCAGCTCAGTGTTTCTAAAACGTTGCATATTCCTCTGCAGGCAATGGCAGCTCGAATGACTGTGGCAATGCATATCTGTTTTTACCATTGCTCTTGTGTACAGCACCACCCAGCAGCTAACCAAGATGTTTCTATGATAAACTGAATGTTTTTTTATTTCGAAGACTCTATGTGTAGCTGAATTAAGATAGCATGTTATTGAAATTTAGGAAGGAAGCAATAACTGTCTTTGTATTAAACATCACTTTGGAGTAGACAGAGGAATTCAAAAGAAAGTAGTTTAAATAATGAAAGTTTTACTTTACTTTTAATTAAATATTGAATGAAAAGTTCTAATATCTGAACTAAAAATCTGAGTAATTTTAAATTCTATCTCAAATTATGCTGTGCAATATTTATTCTTTGGTACAATATTACGTATTGCATCTTTAACACGTTCCGAAATATTCTCTTTTTACTATATTGTTCAATTTCTTTCAGCTGTATTCATTAAAAAATCTTCTTCTAAGCTCTTCTGAAGGTAATTCTTGATTTGCACAAGAATATTTATATTAGAAAGTTAGGGAATACATATAAATAGTTACTATATTGTTTTCAATTCATATTTTTTAAAATTGGTTATTATGATTCCATGTGGAGTAAAATGCAGTTGTACCTCCTAATAAGGTATGACCTATTGGTCCCAGAATGATCTGTATTGTCCATTATTATTACAAATTATTTCCTATTAGTTGTCTATTGATGTCCTTTATATAGAGGGCACATAAAATTTTAAAAATGCAATTTTATTTGAAATTTAAGTTTGCAGATTTTATTTAACTTCTTTATTAGTCTGCTGCAAGTTGTGAAATTTTTCTCTAATTTTTTTCACTATAAATAGTCTTGAAAGTAATGTTATTACTTTCTTTAAATTTATTTAAGCAATTATTTGATGCTTCAAAGTCCTTCCTAGAATTCATCACAGACCTCTCAAGAACTGAAAATGATAGAATTTTCTCTCTATTCTCTATTCCCTCTATTCCTATCAGTATCAGTCCAGTCATTTGACCACTTTTCTTTCTTATTGAATCCTGTTCTTCCCAATACCAAAGGCAGTCCCTGGCTGTTAAATCATCTTTTTCTACTTTTCATTTCACGTAAAAGATTCTTTGAATGTCAAATTCGTTTTTATCGCACAGTGGTATGCTTTTTTCCCAAAGTCCTGTCTTCTTGAAACGGAAACCATCGGGAGGAAATATATATCAAATAAAGGTATTTTTATTTTTTGTTATGTATCCCTATATTAGTTTTTTAAACTTTTCCAGTGTTCCTTAAATAGGGGTCCATTTTAGGAGATAAATAAATTAAGGTTCCATTCAGACAAGGACTAACAGAATTAACTCTTAAGTAGAGAGTGTCTCATATTTTTAGAGTTTCCCCTTGGAGGTAATACTTGGTAATTGTTTCAAATGTATCCATAATTATAATCTCTTCTAGAATTTTTTTTAAGAAAAAAGGAAAATTTCTGCAAAATATTGTTACAAAAATAGACAAGAAACCTGAAACAACCAACACTTCGTCATATCTGTAATTTTACATACAGTAATTTTAGATTTATGGTGTACAATTTTGATGGGATTTAGTTACATTATTTTCTTGGTTTTATCTGTTAATCTTATGATATACACTGATGGGAAAAAATTCCAACAATAAGGAAAAAATTATTGTAGACTAATGAAATTTCGGCAATACGTTTGCCATAGTAACATATTTAATTTATTAAAGTTGCAATATCGCAGGTTGATATCACGGGTGATCTAGCAGGCTAAGGCAACATGTAGACATTCTATAGAGCATTTAGGGTTACAACAGCAGTGTGAGGGCATGCTCTGTTTGGAAATACTCCCTTGAATTCTGCTTATGAATGGCAACAAAACAGGTTGGATCATCAGGTTGATGTACAAATTTCCAGTCAAAGTGCGCAAAATAACCAGGAGAGTGCTCCTGCTGTCATAAAAAATTGCTCCTCAGACCTTAACTTCAGGTGTAGGTCCAGTATGTCTTGGCCGTAAGCGGGCGCTCACCTGGCCTCCTTCTAACCAATATACGGCTAACGCTGACACCAAGGCAGAACCGATTTTCATGAGAAAATACAATAGATCTCCAGGAAGTTTTAACTCGATACCACTCACGACGTAAACGGCAGGGGTTTGGAATGAGTGAAATGAGAGCTACAGGGCGTCTCGCTCGGAATTGTACTTGAAGTTACCGATTTGTTATGTCACTTTAGTGGCAATTGCAGCTCGAATTTCTGAGGCAGGCGAAGTACGGTGCACCACAGCCATATGCCGTACACTGCGGTCTTCCCTCTGAGTAGTGCTGCGTGGCCACCCAGAACCCGCTTTTCTTGAAGCAGTACCTTCCATTGACCAATGCTACCAACAGTCATGGTGGATACATTTCTTCCCAGTCTTTCTGCAATTTTGCGGAAAGAAAATTTACTTTCTCGCAGCCCTATTACACGACAGTGAGTCAGTGTCAACAGTTCAGAATCAGTGAGCTGTTAATTGCTTATACGTCTTCTTAATAGCATTCATGACTAACAGCAACTCACTTTGTCAAAATTTAACAAAAACGAATGCGCGTACGATAACCGAATACGCGTACGAACGAATACGCGTACGAACTAAAGAACACGTATTTAAAGCAACCCTGGTTTGCATGTTCACAGTGGCGCTACAAGAGCCAAACTTATCCGCCAAGCGCGAAATTTGAATAGACAACATCTTATAGTTGTATAAAAAAGCTTACCAAATTTAGTTTATCTAGCACAACTCCTTCTTGGAGTTGGGATTTTTTTCCCGTCAGTGTATATTACTATGATATATACTATTATATAATGTTTACTTGTGTGCCTTATGCTGCATATATATTTCATACCTAAGCTGTTGTGTCTATGTATTTCTCTATAAACTATGACTTAAAATATTTTTATTATTTTCTTATATTTGAATAAAGTTTTATTTTAAGTATAAAAACTCTTTTTTTTTCTTTGCATTTCCTCTATATTTTCAATTGTGAATGAATAGGGAGAATCAGCTCACGTAAGTCCATTTCAGCTCTTTATTCCAAATTTTAAAAGCTATTTTTAATAATTTTAATAAATTTTACTGTTGAATGCTAATTGCACTTTAGTTTTTTATTGGCATGATTTATTGCTTGCAATAATTAACAGTTTGATTGATTGCTCTGAAATTGTCTAATTGTAAATTTCTATCTATGGAAATTGAATCTTATTAATTTTTTTTTAATTGTTTTGTGCAGATTTTTTGTTAAAGCTCATTGCTTTCAGTTTTGTTTATTTTTATGTTAATTTTTGTTTTCATTTTATAAAGTATTGTTTTTTTTAACTTATTTAAAAAATGGACTGGCTGAAATTGAGTGTATTTTTTACTTTATAAATTTTTATGTTCTTAATTTTTTTTTCAATCTTCATTTCTAAATATAGCCTCTTTGTTCTTAAAGCAATAATTTTTCCTGCCTTATTTTAGTACACTGTAATTAGAATCAGAGTGATCCATCCTCAATATTAAAGTAATTAAAGTATAGGATTGTATGATTGGTGTACACGTAGTAAGATAGAAATAATAATTTCACTTATTTTTAATATTTAATTCTCACTTAAATTTATTACTTTCTCACATATTTTGCAATTTTCCTTCAAAGCTAATTTTTGCTAATTTTCATTCAAATATTAGAATTAAATGTGCTTCTTAGTTAGTTCATTTACATATTTATTATTATTATTTTTAATTATATATTTTTTGTATTAAATACTCTTAGTACAGAATGATAAAAGCAAAGAAGAAATATTAACGTATTTCTTTGTGAACAATTATTTCAATATTGTTAAATTGGATTTTAATTTTATAAATTTCAATTTTAGAACGTTGTATACATTTCGTTTTCGACACAAAGAAATAGATGAGTATTGTACGAAAAATAATAGTGCTTGTATCTTTGTCTTTTCATATCTATTTTTTACTATTTTTTTTTTTTGTAATGGAAAAATCGAGGTACGTAAGAGCACTTCAAAAATATCACTTAAAGTACAAATAAATATCTTTTTTTTTCTTTTTTTAAAACATTTTCACTGATTATATCGAATTAAATACTTTTATTTGATTTGGATTATTTAGAGCCCCTGTCCTAATATAGTAGCCTTAGGATTATTGAAAAAGAAATAAAATTTTGCATGACGTCATGACGTTTGATAAATAAATAAAATCCATTTTTATAAATGATCTTTTAGAAATAAAAGGGAAAAAAAATGGACTTGTTGAATATTCACCTGAATTCGATTCTGTAGTTTAATTTAATTTTATTATATAATGTTATTTTATGGTTTAATTTTATTTTATAATTAAATTTTATTTTACAATTTAATTTTATTTTATAATTTAATTTTATTTTAAAGATTTAATTTTTTCTGAATCCATAGTCATATACTAATAATACTTTTTGGTTGCTTTTGGAATTTCTAACTGTTTTGAATAGTCTATATAATATAAAAACATAATGGTCTAACACAGTTTTTCTTTGCCGGTGCATTTTTATTAACCGGAAAGTTTTATAGAAGGATCCAGTTTTCCCACTTTAATTTCCGTATTGTTTTGGTTACTATCCTCATAAAATTAATAAAAGTAATAAGGTATTGTTTTCCGGCAAATAATTTTGTATCCCTAATTTAAAAGTATTTTCCTGTACTGCTAGTATTACGTTTTTGATTTTGATTGTTTTTTAAATTAAGAGTTTAAAAAACTAAAATAGTTTTTTTTATTACATCGTAATTCTACGCTACATTTTAAGATAAAGTTATTTAAATCGGATTCTAATCTTATTTACCTTTACCGTATTATTATTTTTTTGTACAAATTATATTAATATACATAAATTAAAGATATAGAGATTCGTTCAATGAATTAGAACTTTCAGCTTCATGCGCAATGTGATGAAGCGCTTGGTAAGCGATATTATATTACGGTTATAAACTTAAAAATTTTTTTTTTATCACAATGTACTTTTTAAGGCTACAGTGGACCTTTATATTGCCAAAAATTGATAAAAATTTCGGTTTTTTTTTTGGACATATTTAGACACTTGTTTCATTGCTTTTTCAACTGAATTTTTTTTTTTTTAAATTTCGTCATTTTTTGAGAAGTTATAGGGTAGTTTCGTTTTCACATTATGAAGCCACGCCCCTTTTCTTACACAAAAAGCTGTTTTTCTCAAAATTGAAATTTTGTTATGTTTCACGTATTCAAAATGTTCCAGTCGACTTTGTTTTCATCCTATTGAGATGAAATTTTTTTCTAGTTATTTATATGTATATTAGATTAAGNTGTTCTTAAAGCAATAATTTTTCCTGCCTTATTTTAGTACACTGTAATTAGAATCAGAGTGATCTCAATATTAAAGTAATTAAGGTATAGGATTGTATGATTGGTGTACACGTAGTAAGATAGAAATAATAATTTCACTTATTTTTAATATTTAATTCTCACTTAAATTTATTACTTTCTCACATATTTTGCAATTTTCCTTCAAACCTAATTTTTGCTTATTTTCATTCATATGTTAGAATTAAATGTGCTTCTTAGTTAGTTTACTTATATATTTATTATTATTATTTTTTTATTTTTAAGTTTTTATACTTTTTGTATAAAATACTCTTAGCACGGAATGATAAAAGCAAAAAAGAAATATTAACATATTTCTTTGTGAACAATTATTTCATGATTGTTAAGTTGGATTTTAATTTTATAAATTTCAATTTTAGAACGTTGTATACATTTCGTTTCCAACACAAAGAAATAGATGAGTATTGTGCAAAAAATAATAGTGCGTGTATCTTTGTCTTTTTATATATATTTTTTTTAATGGAAAAATTGAGGTACCTAAGAGCACTTCAAAAATATCATTTAAAGTACAAATATATAAATATCTTTTTTCTTCTTTTTTTGTAACATTTTCTCGGATTATATCGAATTAAATACTTTTAGTTGATTAGGATAATTGAAAAAAGAAATAAAATTTTGCATGACGTTTTATAAATAAATAAAATCCATTTTGATAAACGATCTCTTAAAAATAAAAGAAAAAAAATGGACTTGTTGACTATTCACCTGAATTCGATTCTGTAGTTTAATTTTATTTTATAATATAATGTTATTTTATGGTTTAATTTTATTTTATAATTTTATTTTATTTTAAAGATTTAATTTTTTCTGAATCCATAGTCATATACTAACAATACTTTTTGGTTGCTTTTGGAATTTCTAACTGTTTTAAATAGTTTATATAATATAAAAACATAATGGTCTAACACAGTTTTCCTTTGTTGTCTGTGCATTTTTATTAACCGGAAAGTTATATGGTAGGATCCAGTTTTCCCACTTTGATTTCCGTATTGTTTTTGTTGCTATCATCATAGAATTAATAAAAGTAATAAGGCATTGTTTTCCTGCAAATAATTTTGTATCCCTAATTTCAAAGTATTTTCCTGTACTGCTAGTATTACGTTTTTGATTTTGATTGTTTTTTAAATTAAGAGTTTAAAAAACTAAAATAGTTTTTTTTATTACATCGTAATTCTACGCTACATTTTAAGATAAAGTTATTTAAATCGGATTCTAATCTTATTTACCTTTACCGTATTATTATTTTTTTGTACAAATTATATTAATATACATAAATTAAAGATATAGAGATTCGTTCAATGAAGTAGAACTTTCAGCTTCATGCGCAATGTGATGAAGCGCTTGGTAAGCGATAATATTATATTACGGTTATAAACTTACAAAATTTTTTTATCACAATATACTTTTTAATGTTAAATGTTATTTTAAAAAAATTATCTAGAAAAATTACTTATGTTCACTAATAGAACTTAATAGAATCATAAGGGATTTATGGATCATATTTGATGGACTTGGGAAGTAGAGGCACAAGTGTAAGCGAACAGAATTCTTTTTAGTACGTATATTTTAAATGAATATGTTCAACTTTCATAGTAAAAACGGTCATATGCCAAGAAACAATAGTTATTGCAAAGCAATCATCGGGGTTGGTGTGCGGCAGCGAACAGGGGCTTAGCCCCCACGTAAATTAGTAAAAAGAAAAACATGAGATTAGAAAAAGCGACTCACTGTTTGAAAATTACATGATACTCATTTCCCGAGAAACCGATTTACAGGTCTCGAGGCCCTGCTCGCAAGCTTAGAGGCATTTCTAAACTTTTTTTTTTGCAAAATATAGATATTTATTAAAAGGTTTTATAATGACCTTTTTTTAATAGAAAATGTTATTGAAATTTTTGATATTTTTTATTAACAGTAACATTTATAGAAATAAATTATTAGTTGTAACTTGGTGGCCTTTTGAAAGTTGGGACTTGGGAGTGCATTTTTATAAATAAATCCTCAGCCAAGTGTGTGTCGCGGCACTGACCATGGAGTGCTGAAGTGCCCATAATTTCAAATCTTATACTTATTCTTTAGTAGTTGTTTAAGATTTTAAGTCATTAACGTATGTATATTTGACAGAAGCGCCACCTTTAATTTTCTTTAGATTTATTTGTTTTAATATTTCACTTTAGGTTGCGTGGCAACCTGAGATAGTTTTTGTTGTTGTTCTTTTTTGTTGTAATTTAGAATTATAATTTTTTTGGAATCCGTTTTTGTTGCTAAATTATTAGTTATTAAAAGATTAAAGTTTTATATTTGTTGTCATTCATCTGTAGAACTTGTAGTTCATTTGATTGACTTTATTTAAAAGGCGTCCGCATTATTTATTTTCATTTATTAGCGACAGTAGTAATATGTTGCTAATCAAAACGAAAGAGTTATAATATGTAGTTGATAAAGTTTCAGATATCTGTGAGATATGAGCGTCCTGTCCTAAATAAAAAAGCTATGATGTTTCTTTTTCCTTTTACTGCTTTACACCCTATAGAAATTCGGTTTTATGCAGTTGCTGTTCTTAAAAGCATACTTTGCTCAAAAAAAAAAATATTAGAAAAGAAATACGAGTAGCTATATCAAGT